TGTGAACTTTCGATTGCAAAAAATTTGTGAGTGAAATAGCAAGTGATAAATGGGAGTGATTGAAAGAGTAGTGGAAGTGAAAATAGCCTAAAGATAAAGATGAAATGACATAGCTTTGATTGAAAAAGGAACGACAAGGATATGATTGAAGTATTAGTAGAAGAGAAGATAGTAATAGAAATGATAAGTTTAGTGATATGAAAGGAAACAGCGATGAATCAGAGTTGGTTGGGAGAAAAAAAGAAAGATTGGAAGAAATGGAAGGAAACGAAATATTTCAAAGGGTGTGGTCCACCAAACTCTGATTCATCGCTCTTTCCTTTCATACCACTAAACTTATCATTTCTATTACTATCTTTTTTTTTCTTCAAAGATCATCTTCGAGAGTGAAAGGAAAAATGATTGCAGAAACCACAAATTTTTTAACTTTGTTTCCCATTCACATATATAGTTTGTCATTTTTTATTTCTCGCCAAACTCTTGAAATTCGTAATGTTAGCTCGAAAAACACACCCAATCATCGTTAATTGATGTCAATCTCCCTTGCTTTCTAGCCTAAATGTTCCTGAAAACGTTTACCATCCAAATGGCTTCCTTTTTTGAATATCATTTCCAGAGACCAATTTAACCTTAACGAGAATTGCAACATCCAGCAACGGTTGTATGTAACGCATACCCGTACGATTGAACCCGGTACTATACAAATGTAACAATTATATCAGTGTGGAAAGATATTTACAAAGTTTTATCAGAATTTAGGTGCATGTTCAGAAAATCATCATAAGTTATGCTTTATATTATATTGCAGCCAATACAGCGATGCAAATATTAAAAAAGACAATTGAATAATACACGATATGAAGTAATAAATATAACTAAAATAGTGTGTTATAAAATAAAGTGATAACAATCTTTTGAATTTGATTTCTATTTTTTAGTAGTTTGAATTTGTTTATGCTATTGTTCCATATTTTCGATATTTTTTTTCCAAAATATAGAAAATTTTTATAAAATGTTGCAAATTTCATCACAATTTAAAACTTTATGGGGCCAGAATGATTTGAAATGCATGGAAGGACCAGAATTGCTCGAAATTATTTTAAATGTATAGAAAAATCGGAAAGAATCATTTCAGAAAGAATCAACACTGACTGAGTAATGGTGCGGAACTGAGTTCCGCTTCAGAAAGATGAAAGAAAGAAATATTGAAAAGAAACATATCACATCGGTAGTGTTGCCACAAAAGAATATAACTTTCGAAAGGTACTGACTCGAAAGTCGTGGAAAATATTTTTTTTAATTCGGGAGAGTAGATTAGTACTCCACGACAATTATCAATGAAGATTGGAAATAATGACAATTAACGACTTCCAAAAATCAATACTCCGATTCCTGATTATTCATTGGTACTTTGTTATGAGCAAAATCACACGTCTTGATTGGGGAGAGGCCCACTTATCTCCGTATATTTATATACAGTGTACACATTATAAAATTTTCAAATTTCAACAAAAAAATTAATCAAACAAAATTATTTTGTAAAACAATCACGACTGTAACAGAGAGGATTGTAAGAAGAAGCGATTCGCAAAAAAAATCTCAGTATTTTACTGGAATAATGTAGAATTAGTAAATATTCTACCACAGATGCAAAAGCTCGGCATTTTCTGTTATTGCTGCATTGGCATTATTATTCCTTCACGTTTTGTGTCGTAGCAAATATTGTACTGGAAGATATCGATTACAAATCTTTCATAATTAATTAAGAAAGTCAGTACAATGATTAACTGATACGATTATGACCGATAATCGTCGAGTTAAATATTGTTAAATATTAACTGCTGCGCAGTTAATAGATGAGGAAAGTTATCAGTTTCTTATCATTTTCATCTCTTCACATATAAAGAAGCAAATACCAATGTCGCATTGGATGAGAATCATAATCGTTGGTTTGTTTGCTTTGCCTGAAGATGAAAATGAAGGAGGACGGTGAATTTACTTTATTCTTCCCCTGTGAGAATGTGGTTTGAATTCATTTCTCTCTCACTTTCATTGCTTCCACATTTAACTTTTTCCCGTTTGTTTTCTAACCTAATACCATTTTTGATTCCGAAAATATTTCAACAAAAATTCGTCCATGTTGTTCTTTGTTAATATTCTTTTCTCTTCCAAACACCATCAATCCAAATTATTTCGTTTATTAATTTGAATTTTTTTATTTCATTTTTGTTAATTTGGAATATAAAACTAGCAAGTTGCGTAAACAAATGAACATGTATAGTATTACTAATCATTGTGACAACATCATTTGACAAGTATTTCCTAACTCATTTGTTATAAATTAGCATTTGTTTCAAAATTTGCACTTCTGCTTATGAAAAAGTGGTAAATTAATTATTAAAATTTGAACCACATCGCTTTTCCCTTGCACATAGTTTATAGTGAGAGGGCCGTTGGCATTGCCGTGGATATATCGCTCATACCAACTCGAGCAAACCGAACTGTTCATGAAATTGAAAATATCAAACAGATGAGAAGAAATGAAGTCAATGGAGAGACAGTTAATAGAATGCTCTGCTACGTTTGAGATACAATAATTCGTTTTAATTGATAATTTGATTTATCATTACATTGTTATTTTTAAACACATTTATGACATGTAAAATGTCCAAAATAAATTTAATGATACTAAAATTCAGAGCAAACAATTTTCATGACAATCAGAACAAGAAATTTTATTTCATAAAACAAAAAGATTTTTTTGAGGATGTAAAGTGCAATTTTTCAAGATATATTATACTAGAATATAATATTCGGTTTAATTTATTTCTTTTTTATCAGTTTTTAAAAATATCGATGGAAAAGTTACCAAAAATTAATTCAGGAAGCAGAAATTGTAAAAACATTGTATATAATATAAAGGTTAAAAATCATGGTTGAATATTAATGGGAACATTATCCAATTTCGGTTGATACTAACTTTACTCAGTCGATATGATAATGTTGAACAAACTGTAACTTTGAGCAAATTCTAAATGTTGAGAAATCGCAAAAGTTTGCAAAAATTAGCATAATTTTTTAGCATCCTACTTTTTGAAGTGGTTAATTATTAGTGTTCTTGCTGTGAAAGTGATTGTTGTAGGTTAACTGTTGTTGTTTCACAAACAAATTATTTTATTGCTGAGAATTGCAGTGGAAGAGTTGTGTGGAAGATGAAATGATCAGTAGTTCATTTGACGATGGTTGCAAGAAGAGACGATTCAGACGATTGAATCAGCAGAATGGTTCAGAATGGTCCTTCCTGGTTTATATGCCCAATATACTCAATGGGTGGTCTGGGTTGGTAGATGATCGGTTACCAGGGTCAGGACAATATCAATTTGGGGTATGAAAAAGCAATGAGGACAAAGGGCTTTGTGTTGTTAGCTGCATCGATTTCATAAG